TCTTAATCTTTGTTTGATTCTTCGTTTTGGGGTTTGTTCTTTTCTGGGTGTCAAGAGGAGATGGCTCGGAGTAATGAAGTCAACCTTAATGAATCTAAGGTACTTTTGTTCTTTCTTAATCTGAATTCATTTCTTGCCTATTTTGCTAGATTTTGAATTGGGTTTTGCTTTTTAAGGTTATGATTTTGGGTTTACAAGCTTTCTTTCTTGTATGCTGAGTTTTGGGCAAGTTTTTTAAGCTTCTTGGGCAAGTTTTAGGCTGTCTTTGTGTATAGGTGATGGTTTTTGGCTTAGAATGATTTGCTCTGTGTGTATTTCTGGTATGTTTTTGGGATTTTAGTTAGATTTGCTGCATAAATGCTTGGAGATAATGCCTTCGTTCTTCAGAATAATCATGTTCATCCCTGATTTTACTTGGTTTTCACTTTCTCTTAATTGGGTTGTTATCTTGATGTGTAGAGCGTTGTTCCATTGAATACATGGGTGCTTATCTCCAATTTCAAGCTAGCTTACAACATTCTCCGCCGCTCGGATGGGACATTCAACCGTGAGTTAGCGGAGTATCTTGAGCGTAAAGTTCCTGCCAATGTGATTCCTGTTGATGGGGTTTTCTCGTTTGATCATGTCGATCGAGCTTCTGGCCTTCTTAACCGAGTTTATCAGCTATCCCCTGGAAACGAAGCTCGATGGGGTATCGTTGATCTTGAGAAGCCTCTAAGCACGTCTAAAGTTGTTCCTGTCATCCTGTTTTTTCATGGGGGGAGCTTTGCTCATTCATCAGCCAACAGTGCTATCTATGACACGTTTTGCCGTCGAATTGTAAGCATCTGCAAGGCAGCTGTTGTCTCGGTTAACTATCGTCGGTCGCCTGAACATCCATATCCATGTGCGTATGAGGATGGCTGGGCTGCACTTAAATGGGTTAAGTCAAAAACATGGCTGCAAAGTGGGAAGGACTCTAAGGTTCATGTGTATTTAGCTGGCGACAGTTCTGGTGGCAACATTGCTCATCATGTTGCTGTGAAGGCAGCTGAAGAAGACATCGAAGTCTTAGGCAATATCCTTCTTCACCCGATGTTCGGTGGCAAAAAGAGAACCGAATCTGAGAAGAAACTCGACGGTAAATACTTCGTAACCATCCAAGACCGAGATTGGTACTGGAGAGCCTATCTCCCTGAAGGAGAAGACAGAGATCACCCAGCTTGCAACATTTTTGGCCCCAAATCCAAAAGCATAGCAGGACTCGACTTCCCGAAAAGCCTAGTCGTCGTTGCCGGTTTGGATTTAATGCAAGACTGGCAACTTGCTTACGTGCAAGGGCTGAAAGACTCCGGTCACGACGTTAAACTTCTCTTCCTCGAACAGGCGACAATCGGGTTTTACTTCTTGCCTAACAATCAACATTTCTATTGTCTAATGGATGAGATAAATAGCTTCATCAACCCGTAACTGTTCATACAACTAAAAAACACTAAAAAAATGCTAAAAAATGCTGCAACACCTAACAGAAGCTTTGACATAAAAAACTTGGGTTCCTTTTCTCCCCTTTGCTGTAATGCTTGGTAGTGTTATATATATACATATATGTATATGTATATATGTATATGTATAGGTTATATACAATATTAACATCATGGGACTCTGCTTCTTTGCTGCTACTGCTGCTTATTCAAGTTCAGGAGCCAAGTGGCCAAAATTTATGGAGCTGATGAGATAGATGCCAACAAAAAGCCCAAAGAAAGCTTGCCTGCCTTGCTCTTCCAGCCATCCAGACAAGTGAGTATGTGAAGTTTAGGGGTAAATTTTGTTGGTTTATCAATGTTTATGAGCATTCTGACTGATAAGACACTAATTTTTTCACAAAGTTGGATTTGATCCATTTTGTTTGTGAATTCTGTGTTATTAAGTGTTCTTGTTTGTATCTACTTCTTGGTTTTGTTCTTGCTAAAGATCTAGTGAAGTAGGGGACATGGGTTGCCCACGTCTTCTCCATAAATAGCATGAAATTTTGCAGCCATGCATAAATGATTGGTCAAATCATGGATTTCACTTTCCCTACAACATTGATTTTGATTATTTCTTGTCATTTCCTTGTAGCTTTTTCTTAGAAAGAGGGGGTGTGCTTGGCGTTTGGGATAACTTCAAACTCTACACACCTCCTTTTCATTGCCCACCATGTTTGTTTGTTAGGTTGGTTGTTTTGGACGTATGCGCTATGCCCCATGACCCGTGTGAGATCTCACATCGGTTGGAGAGGGGAACGAAACATTCCTTATTAGGGTGTGGAAACCTCTCTCTAGTAGATGTGTTTTAAAACCGTGAGACTGGTGGCTATATGTAATAGAACAAAGTGGACTATCTCTATTTGTTGTGGGTTTGGGCTAGTACAACCCATCTAGTCGGCTCGTCTGGTTGGTTCACTTCATCCGTTTCAGGTTGTTCATTGATCTGAAACTTATTAGTGTTTTTTTTTTATTGATTGATTTTAGGACTGGTGGCGTCCTTGATGAACGAACGTTGTAGTAGGATCAGATAATTCTCTCGAGAAAAGGGTAGAATTGGAAGAAAGAAAGTAAAAAAAAGTGAGAAAATCCAACATTGAAAAGAAAGGTTTGGCCAAATCCTAAGAATCCAAAATGGTTTGAGTAAGTGGGCATTGGGAAGGATGGGATTATGTCCTAAACATACAACAAAACATTGACTTTTTTGTCCTTGTTTCTTTTTTGGATTTTCTAAATCATTTTTTAACTACGTCGTTCGACGTGACTATTTTTTAATAATGATATGAAATTACCGAACAAAAAAATTGAAGTTTTTTTTGTAATTTCAATTTTGTGAGATTGTCGATGGGGATGTAGTTTGTGAGATCTTACATCCGTTGAAGGGGGGAAATGAAACACCCTTTATAAGAGCGTAGAAATGTCTCTTTACCTGATGTGTTTTAAAATCGTGAGGCTAACGATGATACGTAACGGGCCAAAGTAGACAATATCTGCTCACGATAGGTTTTAGTTGTTACAAAGTCGATCAGTCCTCTCTACAAATGAACTCATGCCACAATGACTCAAGTCTTTAAAGTTGGTCTAGTTAGACCACTATCACGTAAGATATACGAAAAACACTCGTTTTTCACTTCCATAAAATCATTTCGTGCATGTAATGAAAAACGCTCGAGTTTCGATGCTAATCTCTATAAACAATTAACAATTATTTGCATTTGCTTTCAATTTCTTGTGGAGGAAGCAACACTCATTAAAACTGTTCCCTTTTTTGGGAGACTCTAAGAATTCCCCTTTCAACAATTAAAACTTTATTCCATTTTTTAAATTCTTTTAAAAAATCACTTCGTACTTTTTTTTTTTTTTTGAAAGAGAAAATTAAAGAAATAAATGATCTTAGTTTCATAAATTTATCGAATTATTATTTTATGAACTATTTTTTTAAAAAAAGATCATAATGTTCATGCATAAAATTACTATCGATAGGTATAGCACTCGGGTGTAACTATCCTAATATTATAACACCGTACCCAAATCAGTTAGAATATTATTAAGTCGGGTAACGAACGGTCCTTCTTTATACTTTATATATTTTTTTTTTTTTTAAAAAAAAATCGAACTTTTACTTTTAAGCCCCAAAGTTTCAACTTAAAAATTGCAAAATGGGCACTTTAAACATGAAAATTTGCAAAATGAGCACTTTCATGGAGGTGATAATTAAGAAGGGAACTTTAGAAGGAAGCATTGAAAAGGGAGGGAACATAAAGTATGAGGGCCCCTACTTGGATATAACATTATTTATTTATTTATTTCTATTTATTTTATTAAGAGTAAAAAAGGATAAAAGTATTTATTTAATAATAAAATATGGGCCATTAATCCTACTTGTGGAACAAACTTTGGTAACTTATAGCCTTCACTTTCTAAAGTGATTTATTGTAATTCAAGCCTTTATTCACTTTTTCGTCTTTACAATCTTATGATTCAAACAACAAATCGGTATTATTACGTTTCGATGCTTCTAAAAGAAAATTTTGAGTTATATTCAAAATTGACGAGAACTAATTAGAGAAAGAAAATCGAAACAGTCAAATTATGCACCAATTTTACGGAATGTGTATATGGATTGTATTGCAAGAAATTTTATCCCGAGCTATGGGCAAAATTGTCAAGTTAATTGGGAGGACCACATAGTATAACCCTTTTCTTCTACTTTCGTTTGATATATGTTTTCGTTTAGTTGAACTCAACCCAATTCAAATAAGTTGATATCCCAACACAAGCTATACTGGATGAGTTGAGTTGATCGGGAATTTGATGGAATGTTGTTAGTTTATTCATTTTTGCTTAATTGGTAGATGATTACTTCTATCTTACACTTTCACTTCTCTTTATAATCTCCCATGTGGTTTAATTATCACTATCTAATCTCGTATTCTATAAATTGTCTTCTTTCTTCTTCATAAAGTTTAATGAGGTTAGATCTGATCGGTTTGCTGAATATGAAAATTAAAATAAATTTTGTTTTTATCGAGTCAAAAAATAACATTTAATTTTTAGTTACTAACATTTTAATTAATAACAAATATAAAATAACATTAAGTAATTATACCTATTTCATTCTATATATATATATATAAAGAAATTCTCATTAATAATTCCGACTATATATAAAAAAAAATCATTATTCACATTAAACTACAATAATCAAATTTTTTTAAAAAAACAAAAGCTATTAAAAGAGAGAGAGAGAGAGAGTAAATCAAAGGGGAAATTATAATAGAAAATGAAAAAATAAATAAAAACGTACATATAATTGAATAAACATTTGCACTCTCCTAAAAACAATTATATAAATAAGAATATTCCTATTTTCTGAACCCCAAAAAACGAACAAAAACAAATAAACGGATACTAAAAAGAAAAAGAGAAGAAGAAAACACATTCTCTGCCGCAAAGATTTTGTATATATTAATTAATTAATTATCGGAAACTATATTAAAAAAAATCATTTTCTTTATTTTTTTTTTTCACCTTTAATTACTTTCTTTTTATGTACCTAATTAATTAATTAATTACTTCCCAAATTTCACCCTCTCCATTCGCCGCACTGTTCCGTTGGCCGAGTTTTCTGGTTGCCGGCCTTCTCCGGGCACAGTGTTTGTATCGGCGGTACCATACAATTGTACTGCAAGCACAATGAGCTACTAAGAGGAATCTCCGCCGTCGGATTGATCTCGATTCCGGTCAGAAAATTGTGCTGCAAATACAGAGTTTGAATATTCGCAGCCAACAATCGGTCCACGAGGCTGTTTGGAACTTCTCCCGTGAAGTGGTTGTTGTTCAGGTACAGATTCTGCACGGTGGAGAACATTGGCGATATCGGACCGGAGAGACGATTGTAGCTGAGATCAACGGTTGGAATCGCCACCTGAGCAGCCGGCAGGACTGGACCGGTGAAGAGGTTCCGTTGCAACTGGAGGTTAACGATCGGAAAACTGAAGATACGCGTTGGAATGGTTCCGGTGAACTGGTTCAGGCTGAGGTCGAGATAGTTCAACTGGTTGAGGCGGCTGAGGAGGCGGAAGACGGGGCCGTTCAGGCGGTTCCATGAGAGAGAGAGGTATTGGAGAGAAGGAGGAAGAGAGTCCGGTATAAGATGTCCGGTGAGATTGTTATGCTTCAGATCAAGACGATTAAGGCTACGGTACGGAAACATAGGGACTGTGCCTGTGAGGCGATTATGGCAGAGAATGACATTGGATAACTCCGTAATCGTTCCAATGGAGCGAGGAATTTCTCCGGTGAGTTGATTGAAACTGAGGTCCAGAGTCCTCAAACTCCGAATCTCACCGAGATTCGCAGGGAGAGTACCGGAGATGAAGTTGCGACTGATAGCAAGAAAACGGAGGTTCTTCAGTTGGAAGAGCGTCTGCGGCAGAGCTCCAAAGACTCGACCAGGAACAATGGTGAACTCCGTGAGTGCTGAGAGCTTGCCAATGGCAGGATTGATCCGGCCAACCAAACCAGGCGAACCAGCGCGAGGATCCCCTAGGTTTAAGGCAACAACTCTATCAGAATCACACAAAACACCGGCGAAATTACAAGGATCGCCTGTGAAATCCCAAGATGCGAAGAAATTAGACCCAGGCAAATCCTCCAAACTCTTCCGAATCGCTTGCAGAGCCAAAAAATCAATCGGATCCAAAATCGCATCCGATAAACAACAGCATTGCGCTAAACACAACAAAATCAAAACAAAACTCCTCATCCTCGAATCGCTCCGCTTCTTCTCCTCCGCCATTACAAGCCCTGACACAGACGAACACAAACACAATACCGTTATATAGAGCAATCAACTGAACACATCAAGAACTCTTTCTCGTGAGAAACAACGAAGAGGTTGAAAAAGGAGGAGGATATCTCGTGAGAAGCCTCTAAATTAATGGCGAAAACCTGCAAAAGAAACTCCAAAACCGCGAGATCGATTAGCTTCAAAGAGACGCAAACGAAGAAAAGCTCAACGAATCTTCAAAAAGAAGAACAAATTAAAATCTCTAATCTCTGTACTGCGAAGAAATTTTACGGCTTCTGAGAGAAGATTCATTGACTACAGCCACCGCCGCTCTGCAACAAACCAAAAACCGCTTTCTCTTCTTCGTTTCTTTAATGGCAGAAACATTTATTTTATTCGTTTTGTTTATTTTCATGTAATTTTCTTTTCGCTTTGGGGTTTAGGTTCGGAGGAAAACGGTTGTCCGAGCCTACGTGGGGTATCACATGCCGGAGAGAGTGGATTGGCTTGAGAAGAAGAGACATAGAGGAAAAAGGCATGACGGCCGTGAGAGCTTTTGGTTGACGTGGACTTGACGGCGTTAAGTTAAAATAGTCACGCGAAATGCACTTTGTGATGTGACAGTGACAGCTGTAAGCCTAATAGGATTTGCCACGTCAGTTATTGAATTAAGTTGTACGCTGTAAACGGCCGTAGAGGAGTGACTTTATTTATTTTTAATTAGAGTTTTGGAATAGAATAATTTATTTTATTTGGCTTGTGAATAAAAATTGTTGGGAGCTCTTTTTCTTAGTAATAATTTTTATATTCAAAACAAACATCATTTTTTTAATATTAAAACTCGAGGAATAAAATTAAAGAACGAAAATAAAAAAGTTAATTTTAAAATCTCGTTAAAAGGAATAATTTCATTAATTTACAATTCTCGTCAACATCATTCTCATTTTTAATGAAATCTACAATTTTTCATTGTTCATTTTACGGCGTTTATTTTCTCTATTTAAATTTTTAATAAAAATAAAATTTTTATTTAATTCGTAGGGAATATATTCTTATTAGATAAGATTAATCTTATTCTAATTTATACAAGTGTAATGATACTTAATAATATATTTATTAATTATTGTCGCTCTAATACAAAATATATTAATTGTGCTAATTAATGTAATCTTATTTTAATTAAAGGATGATTTTTAATATTACCAAAATTGTTAAAATAAAACTATATGAATTAATTATTTATTTTGTTGTTTTTAATTACTTGAATATTCCTACTATTTTTTTTTTAATGTTTTATTCTTATTTTTTCAAATGGATCATAGTTCGGTCTCGGTCTCTCGTGCCAAGGATTCAACCCATAATTTAAAATATAGATTTGATACATGATGACTCTAACATTTTCCTGCATTTCCGTCAACGTGACCACATTAGCTACTTAAATTAAACTGCTTCCAAGAGTGAAAGACATTATGCAAACCAACCCGAGTTATTTATTTGTATATTTATTCGCATTTGGATATGAATTCGATATTATTCATATATCTCTTATTTACTCGAACGGTATAAAAATAATTTTAAATATAATTTTGTTCGGAAGAAAGGGCCTTACACGTTGGTAGGGAGAAATTACCCTCCAAAATTCAATTTAAAACTTGCAACAAAAAAACCAATAAACCGACGAACCGATCGAACCGACTGGTTTGATTCGGTATTAAAAAATTGGACATCTCGGTTTGGAATTTGGTTCAGTTTGTCTTTTAAAAACAAATAAAAAACCGGCAGACCGAAGTTATGTATATATTGAACTCAAAACCCTAGCCGCCCAACCAACTCCTCGTTTTTGTGCAACCAATTGTCTCGATCCATCCGTCCGAGCAGTTCCCGCCGTCGCTCGCCGCCCACCGACTTTTCAAGCCACCGCCGCTCGCAGCCTACGCACCTCGCAACCCTCCGCCGTTCACAGGTCTGTACGGAGAACCGAACCGATTGGTTTTGAGCATTATTGGACATTGGTTCGGTTATTTATTTGGCCAAAAACGGAGGAAACCGAACCGGTTGCAACTTCGAGTCATTTTTGGGCTACGCATTCAATGTAGCAGCACATAAACCCTGCCGTAGTTCCGCCATAGCTTTCCCTCCTAAACCATTTCCATTTTTACTCTGTTATTTGCTTCTGGTCCTTCACTGAGCTCGATTCGCAGGTAAACGAAAAATGTCGCTGAGAGTACTCAATCCAAATGCAGAAGTTCTCAACAAATCCGCCGCTCTGCACATGAATATCAATGCCGCGAAGGGCTTGCAAGATGTCCTCAAGAGCAATCTCGGTCCTAAAGGAACAATCAAAATGTACGTCGTTATTTATGATCTTCAAAATCGCTTCCACGTTTCGATTTCTCTCATCACTTTTCGTATCTATATGTTTAGGCTTGTGGGTGGTGCTGGAGATATTAAGCTCACCAAAGACGGCAACACTTTGCTTAAAGAAATGGTTAGCGCTCTCTGCCCTAAACCCTATTCTAATCTCAGATCTCTTATTTCAATAGATTTTCCGCGTACGTCTTGAATTGGGTTTGTTATTATTGATTTTTTTCACCATCGGGTTTACACAACGGAGAAATATTGCCTAAATTGCTGGGTTGTTCATATATAAGCTCATTACTCATTTATTGACGCAGAATCCTTGGAAAATTTTCACTACCATTCACCCAAAAGAGATTTATTATATAGGAGAACATTAAGTGTTCAATCCATACTTGTTTTCTATGGTTGCAGCAAATTCAAAATCCCACAGCAATCATGATAGCACGAACAGCTGTTGCTCAGGACGACAGCAGTGGAGATGGTACTACTTCTACCGTGATTTTTATAGGCGAACTTATGAAACAGTCAGAGCGTTACATTGATGAAGGTTGGTACTTTTATTTTAGTGGTACCGTTATTTACAATTATGGTTCATAAAATGTCAAGATTCTCCGTGGGATATGTGTTGGTACTTCTGAAAAAGTTGCGTGAGTGATGGAATTGTATTCAAGCTCAATACAGGCCTCTGTGTGGTGAAAAAGCTAGCAAGAAACACTTTGTTGTTGGAGAAGTACACATAGTATAAATGGCCGACTTTTCAGAAACATATTTAAAATGGATTCTTCAACTTGAAGTTATCGATGAAAATTTGTTTGATGTCTCTTTATTATGTTATTTAAAGAAGAAACTTTTAATCCTGGGAATGAAGCTTCTTTACATCTTATAGGAATTGGTTGATATTCTCCTATGGGTGTGTGTATTTATTGGTATTTTTTGTTCTAATGGAGTTTAATAATTGATCCAGGCATGCATCCACGTGTCCTGGTTGATGGTTTTGAGATTGCCAAAAGAGCAACTCTTCAATTCCTTGAACAATTTAAGACTAATGTTGTGGTTGGTGAGGAGCCGGACAAAGAGATCCTTAAAATGGTGGCAAGAACGACACTAAGAACAAAGGTTATTTGACCTCACTTTTTCTCTTCTTCTGTGTAATTCATGCTGAAACTTTTGCTGTCTCATCTCATATGTTTCTAATGGTTCAATCTCATGTACAGTTGTATGAAGCATTGGCAGATCAATTGACTGATATAGTAGTTAATGCAGTGAGTACTCATCTCTTAGTGACTATAATAACATATATGACCTGAGCTCAGATTGAAAATTCTAAGCCTTATTTTTCCTTTTTGAGAAGAGAAACAAATTTCATTGATGAATGAAATATAGAGAAATCTTATATAAATTATGATCATATGATTGTAGACTGTTGAACATACTGCTATAGATGATTGCTTGTACCTTTTTTGGCTTATGGGATGTGTTTGAATTATTACAGGTGCTCTGTATTCGTAAACCAGAAGAAGCCATTGACTTGTTCATGGTGGAAATCATGCACATGCGTCATAAGTTTGATGCTGACACTCGCTTGGTATGTCTAATATTCTATGAGAACTTCTTTTGAATGAGAAATATATTATTAAAGAATCCAAAAGGATTCTGAATATATTCCCAATCCAATAACCAAAGAGATAGCAGAAGTGATCTCCTATTGGCATTATAAAAGAGAGAGCAACTGCAGAACTTTTTGGTTAGAGATCCTCATCTTAGCAATGGAAAAATTTAGGATCTCATTCACTTGATATAAAAAAAAAACAGTTCGATTTTAGCTTTGTTTCCACTATTTCATTGCTTTGTTGCATATTGGTCAGTATGTTGCAGAAGTGCTCTATTATCACGCAAACAACGTTCCATTTCTGAGAATGTTCTCCACAGTTCTGTCAAAATTAATCATTTAGTGGTTTTTCTTTTCTTTTCTTTTTGTTATTCTGAATGGATTCTTTTTGGGTTTTTGTTAGAATACTTTCGTGCTATCTATGGTTCTTTCATTAGAGGAAACAGGTTGACACATTTTTTTGCATCCCAGTTATTTTTCCACTATATTCTTTAGTACATCTCTCTTTCTTTATGAAGTTCTGCATTTTCATCTTTTTTTGTGATGGGAGCATTTGTAATTTGGAAAAGGTATAGAAAACCATTATCAAAAGGGCATTTATACTTCGAAAGGAAATAGCATTTCTATTTTCTTTATGTATCTATTTGTTTCAATGGAAAAGTAGAGAACGGTTTTGCCTCCATTTTCTTAATGCTTGTAGTTTTAGCTTTTTTGTGAAGAATTGTGCAATTATTTTGGTTGATTCATGTTAATTCAAGAGCTTTGTTCCTTTCCTCTTTTTCAAAATCTCATCTGTTTGACAGAGTGTGTAGATTTCTTATTTTATCCTAATTGTACATTCTCAGACTTTTTCTTTTTCCTTCTTTCATTCCTTTATTTATTTATTTTTTTGTTAATACTTTAATATTTCTCAATTCTCTGATCATCATTCACTAGGTTGAAGGTCTTGTCCTTGATCACGGCTCTAGACATCCTGATATGAAACGGAGGGCTGAGAATTGTTTTATTTTAACCAGCAACGTTTCTCTGGAATATGACAAAAGGTATTGATGAGTCTTTCTTTAATTTCTATATCTCCATAGTTGGATAAATATGTTACTTGTAATGTTGAATCTATGTTTCGTGTTGTTTCTGCATTCCTAAATGTAGAATAAATGCATGTTTCTATATTGCTGCCCCAGGCCTGATGTACTATGGCATTGGTGGGTTGAATTAAACTAGTTATCCTGAATATGAAATGTGGATCACATTCATTTATAGCTTTATATCACTATAATGTATTGTGAACATTGATAAATTGATGGCTTTTCTCTCAGTGAAATAAATGCTGGATTTTTCTACTCTAATGCGGAACAGAGGGAAGCCATGGTTGCTGCTGAAAGGCGTCAGGTTGATGAAAGAGTTAAGAAAATCATTGAATTGAAAAACAAGGTAAGAATGCTAATGTCATGCATGTTAGTTATTAAAACCATCTGCACTTTTTAATTGTTGTCTTATATTCTTGTCATATGCAGGTTTGTGCAGGTAATGACAACAACTTTGTTATCATAAATCAAAAAGGAATTGATCCCCCATCTTTGGATATGCTCGCAAGGGAAGGGGTAAGGCTGTATTTCTTGAAGTTGCCTTGGTCATTGTTTTTTCTTTCTTCCCTTGATACATTCGGTGTGAAATGATGTTTAAGCCTCATCATGAAAAGACTTATTGTAGCACCTTGAAAGGCTGATGAACTTTAAAAGCCAATCCCATCACCATTACAAATGAAATGTGTTGTAAAAAAATATGTCCATCATTTGGACCAATCCATCGGTGTATAGCTGAGGAAACACAATTTCAGTATGTTATCCTTTAAAAGTTGATGACAAAGGTCCAATGATTTCCCAAAGATGTCTCTAGAAGTAATATGTTTTGGATTATAAGTACGATATTTTCTTAACGTATGATGGTTTCTGACAAATTTGACTTCGAAATCTGTTTCTCATGCTTGTACAAGAAATATGTTTCTCATGTGACTTCAAAAATATTTGGAAAATTTCTTATGATATTTGATTTTCTTTAAGACTTTTACTTTAAGAGTTATTAGAAACATGTAATCAATTTGTTCAACTTGTCAGGAGTACAATGTTTTTATTCTTTTTTCTTTTGAATAATATGTTTAAATATTGCTATCGAACTCTTTTTTCTTTTATTTGAAAGTGATTGAGATGTACATCAATATTTGAACGTCTTTGAACAATATTTTCTTATAAATGTATATTTGATTTTTGTCTGTCATAAGTTACTAGAAAAAAACATATTGCGTTGTAAATTATATGTTATTCTATTTCGCATGATTAATAACCATTACAATTTATGTGATGAAGGGGCATGAAATCTTGGGTTGACCGCCATTTATCTGTCAACTTATATTCATTTTTTTCATACATGCTATGGATCTACCGTAGATAATTGCCCTTCGTAGAGCCAAGAGAAGAAACATGGAAAGGTTGGTTTTGGCCTGTGGAGGAGAGGCTATAAATTCTGTTGAAAATCTTGCTCCTGATTGCCTTGGATGGGCTGGACTGGTTTATGAACATGTTCTTGGGGAAGAGAAATATACATTTGTGGAAAATGTGAAGAATCCCCATTCGTGTACAATCTTGATCAAGGGTACTTCATTGGAACTTCAGTCCTCATTCATGCAAAATCTTATTAATCAATTATAGTCTTTTTCTCATTAGTATCCATGATGGTGCAGGACCTAATGATCACACGATCGCTCAAATTAAGGATGCTGTCCGTGATGGTCTTAGATCTGTTAAAAACACCATCGAGGATGAATCCGTTGTCATGGTAAGGTTATATTTTCTGGCTGTAATTAGACATGCAACTGAATAATGAATGTGCAATTTGTGTCAATAGAATTATTAGTCTCTGCTGTAACTCGAGATGTAAGGGTGCATCATTTGACTAAAATATTCGAGAAAATGACGACCAAAAACCACATCCTCAAGGCAACTTAAGAGACTGCTCTCTGTAACGTCCTGGATACAATAACCGATGTTGAGCATTTGACTTTCTTACTTCCACATTTGGCTATTCACATGATTTCTTATCCACAAATAGAAAAAACGATATGTTTTTTCCTTCTCGTCCTCCCAATTTGTTATCAGTTTATCAACAGTTATAGCCTCGCCGCTTCAGTTATGGTACACCGCACTACAATTTGTTTTGCTTCTTGACCCTATGAATACAATAGAGGAACCAAGTTTGTGTAATGCTTTAACTAGGAAATAGCGTGATCGTTGAGATTTTCAATCTACATTTGGCTACCAATGTTTGAGATTTTCCTGCAGTCAATCTACATTTGGCTACCAATGTTTGAGATTTTCCTGCAGTCTTAAGATATGACTGGTGGAACTTTCAGGGTGCCGGATCCTTTGAGGTTGCTGCCAGACAACATTTGATAAACGAAGTGAAGAAAACAGTAAAAGGAGTAAGTTTCCCTAGAAGTATTCTCCAGCGTCCTTTAGCATACTTTTCATTTACCTCATTCTATTGACCTTCTCAACCATTATTACAGCGCGCTCAACTTGGCGTCGAAGCTTTTGCCAATGCCCTTCTTGTGATTCCCAAGACACTTGCTGAGAACTCTGGGCTTGACACTCAGGATGTGCTCATTGCTCTTAAGGTATAGTGTCCCTAAAAACCCCCCACCGTGCGCTTTGTCATATAATTCTACCATGTCCCTCCTCTGAGGCTGTTACGATATTCTAACTCTTCCTTTCGATTTGAATCCAGGGAGCGCATGACCGGGGCAATATTGTCGGGCTAAACCAGCATACAGGAGAACCAATCGACCCCCAAATGGAGGGTATCTTTGATAACTACACAGTGAAGCGCCAACTTATCAATTCTGGGTACATGCCTCATTTTTACTCCTCTGTTCTTGCTGAAGTTCTTCCCAAGCTCTAGTGTCAATAACAAATGTGATACAGAAGTTGTCATGATTTCTAGCTTTCTAGTCTTTTGCCATTTTCAAGGAATATAACTGGCTGATACCGTCGTCGATAGGTCCAACGGTTTTATACCGTTCTTTTTCCCCTTCTAGTCATATAAATGATCATATTAGTAGGGGTATTGATTTGGTCACTCTTCAACTTTTGCAGGCCTGTAATTGCGTCGCAGTTGCTCTTGGTGGACGAGGTAATTCGTGCTGGGCGCAATATGCGCAAACCTACTTAGGTAGGTTTGACATGTAATTAGCCTTGATGATCTGCTAGATTGAGTGTTGAGCTACCTTCTTGGAGGTATTTATTAACTATTATTAGGCCGGCAGTGATATTTGGTTCACATGGTGGTTTGTGTGAAGTACAGCGGTGGGTTTTGTGCTTGAATACAGGTGATTGAGCGAAGCAGCTTTACCGAGTGAAATTAGTCAGTTCTTGAAAGTGAAGCCGCACTCGCCTTTCGATTCCTATTCGAAACTTCTCTCTCGAAGAAAGCTCTGTTACGCGTACCTTTTGGTAAATTTTTTTTGCATTTTAATACTTTCTTCCTAAACGTCTATTTCAAATTTCGATCTTATTTTAAAGCTTGAAGTTTCTTCCCATTGGAAACTTCTCCCTATTTTGATCTTATTTTTCAAATTCTAACAACAACTTAATTCATAATATTGACAATATATTTCTAGAAATTTGTTATTTCTTGTTTTTTTAGTATAAAGTTGGGTTGAAATTTAAAAATAGGACGATAACTGCAACTGTCCAATTTATTACGAAAAAGATAGTTTCTACTTACACTTCGGACTTTCGAGTTGGGTCATGATGAACGGATTTGGTTCAAATAAACTCAAAGTACTAAATTATTTAAATGTTGGGCTAAAGTATTTATTAATTTTAATTCAATAAAATTTTGAATGGATGATTGGAATAACATGAAAGGTAAGATGGGCACAAGATCCCAAGAAAAAAAAAGCCTCCCAAATCAATGGAAGACATGAATGAATGATGAAGTATATGAACAGTCGATGACAAATTCTTTTTTTCAAGAACAAAATCAATTATGATCCGTGGATTCAAATCGTTTGAGGATAATTCTAAGGATCAATCCATTTTGAAGTTACTGGGAAGTTGCCTTCAATTTCCTCCACCGAGCTTCTTTCCAATGGGAGCTTTTTCCAAGCTCCGTCGTTAATGGCTGCTTGAAGAATCAACCTCCATTATCTCCAGGATTCTCTACCAATTCCCATGATACCTAGGACCCTAAAATCAGTTCCGATGTCCATTTCTTCCCATCCCCTTCTCCTTCTTCTCACCATAGTCTCCCTCTCCGCCGCCGCCTCCTCCTCCGCCGCTGAATGCCCTCTTAACTTCACCGTCCTCCGCCAGTTCTCGCGGGGCACTACCGCTTCCCGCCCCGACTTCTCCGATGACTGTCAATACATCCGTCTTGGTCTCCGCCTCGTCCTCTCTCAGTACCTCAAACTCACTGGCTCCTTCTTGCCCCCTGTGAACTCTTCCGATTCGTGCTGGAATGCTTACCAATCGGTCGTTGATGAAACTCGGCCAAATTTCAACGTTCGGACCTCTTGTGGATTTCAAACTGGCTGGATCTCTCAGGGCTGTATGAATATCACTACCAAATCGGAGTTCGAGAGAGTCGTTTCTAAATCGGCGCTGACTAGCGTTGCTGCGAGTTGTAATCAATCGCTCGAAAACGGTTCCCCCTGTGCCTCGTGCACGACGAGGCTCGCGATCGTTCAGGCCTCGTTTTTGACCGGTCCGTCAATCGGCAATGTCACCGATTGCCCTGCCTATCCGTCGATCTACGCGGCGGCGTTTGCAAATCCATTCGGACCGACGGATCAGGGAACTGCCAAATGCTTGTTCTCGCTTAATCCTCTCTCGTCGGGGAATTCATCAGGCAAGAAGCTGAACACAGTGGTGTTGGTGGTTCTGATTTGTTGCAGCGTCGCAGCAGCAACGGCGGCAGTAGTCGCCGGCGGATGGTTTTTCTGGCGAAAACAGGGGAAATCAAAGAAAAACGACAGAATTCGTAGAGTAGAAACAGGAATGGGTTCTGGATTGGAATCCATAAGTGCAAGCACGACGCTGGTGAAGTTCACATTCGATGAAATCAAAAGGGCAACGAGGAATTTCTCAAGAGATAACATAATTGGAAGAGGAGGCTATGGAAATGTGTATAAAGGGGTACTTTCTGATGATTCTGAAGTCGCATTGAAGCGGTTCAAGAACTGTTCTGCAGCAGGGGACGCCATTTTTGCACACGAAGTTGAGGTAATTTCTAGTGTTCGACATGTTAACCTTGTTGCTTTAAGAGGTTATTGTATTGCAACAACGCCATTAGAGGGTCATCAAAGGATAATTGTATGTGATTTGATGAAGAATGGTAGTGTTTATGATCATTTATTTGGGTATTCTGATAAGAGATTGAGTTGGCCAATTAGGCAGAAAATTGCCCTTGGCACAGCCAGGGGATTGGCTTACCTCCATTATGGAGCTCAGCCCGCCATTATCCATAGAGATATCAAAGCCAGCAACATTCTTTTGGATGAAAATTTTGAACCAAAGGTTGCTGACTTTGGTTTAGCTAAGTTCACTCCTGAAGGAATGACTCATTTGAGTACTCGTGTTGCCGGGACGATGGGGTATGTAGCTCCCGAGTACGCGTTGTACGGTCAGTTGACGGAGCGGAGTGATGTCTATAGCTTTGGAGTTGTTCTTCTCGAGCTTTTGAGCGGGAGGAAGGCGCTCGGGGTGCGGAGCGCCGATAGCCAGCCGTTTCTAGTGACCGATTGGGCTTGGTCCTTGGTTAGGGAGCAAAAGGCCATGGATGTTGTTGAAGAAGGTATGCCTGAGCTGGGTTCACCTGAGGTTGTTGAGAAGTATGTGTTGATTGCTGTTCTTTGTTCACATCCACAGCTCTATGCTCGGCCATCAATGGATCAAATCGTGAAAATGCTCGAAACTGACCTCTCTGTTCCTTCAATCCCTGAGAGACCCATCTCTTTGGTTGCGGAGATTGATGAAATAGAGAGATCTATGAGTAGTAGTGGCTCTGTTCAGCATTCTGGTTCTTTTGGCTTTCATGGTTACACGTTACCGAATGACCGAAAGTAGGGCGGGGCCGGTTTCCCGATCAAAGAAACCGACCCTGTTTTTCAAAGAGCAAAAGGAGGAATCTATTCGAGAAAAAGAGCAGCTTACTAACGATCAGTTGCATGAGAACTAAAACACAAACTAGCTCTAGACTCCTATTGAAGGTTGTAGCGGGGAATTTTTCGTAATGAGTTATTTGTTTCGTATGTTGGGTTAGTTGGATGGTTCGAGAATTAGATGCCATGCTTCTACTCCGTTGTAAAGAGAGATAGATTTGTAAGTATTTAGTTTTTCTATCCCTTTTGAAGCTCACTCTTGGAGAAATCATAGCCGTGAAATCCCATGTTGGTTGGAAAGAAGAACGAAACATTTCTTACAAGTGGAAATCGAGAGACACGAAGCCCTGAAGTGAAAGTCTAAAAAAGACAATATTAAATTTATATGCTTTCCAATATTATTAAATTTTTTTATATTAGGTTAATAACTTCGAGATTTATGCTAATTTAATTTTTGAATTTTTGCAAATTTAATTTTTAAACCTTCAAAATTATACCGGAAGATCATCTAAATTTTTAAAATTCACATATTTACTTGAAATTTAAAATTTTATCTAATAGATAAATTTTTCGAAAGATAAAAATCGAAAGCTCAATTAAATAGATTATGTATCATTTATCGACTCGGGTTATTAAACACATATTTTATCGATAAATATTTTTTTTTAACAAAATAATAATAATAATAATAATTTTTAAATATTTAGTAACGCATGATAATATGAGTTAGCCATTAAAAAAATATATAATGTAGCAGCTCTGCATCATTTGATGCAACTACCAACAAATTCCGCTAGGCAGTTGGAGATTGGAGACCACACCAGAGAGAGAATCGTCCAGCGGCATGGCTGCCGTCAAGCCCCCCAAGACGACGCCGGCGAAGGTACGGCCGGAACCCCATCCTCGTTCTCCTATTTGTTCTATATATCCTCACAATTTTCCTTCTGATCGGATTCAATTGATTTTCTTTCTTTTGGCTTCTTCGGAAATTGAAACCCTTCAATTCCGAAGATTCAAATGGAAAATTGGTAACTAGAAAAAAGTTCTACTAAAACTGATGCTGCTTGGAGATGGTTGAGATTCCTTTATTTTCCTCCTTTAACAAGTACTATGGCATAACCGAAGTTTTGTTCAGAATGTTTTATGATAAAATAGGGATAAATTATTCGATCCAGCCGCTGCCTCTAAATGACCGTATAGTGGATATTCCCTAATATCAACTAGACACAAATTTGAAGTACTTTTGTAGTTTCTCTCATATGTTCATTAGTGTAAAATTTTCAGTTTCTTCTAATAATTTCTAGTAAACAGGGGATTTAAATCTTGATCCATAGGGGAGACTATCACTTGAGATTTGCTTAACCATGGAACCAGGGCGTTTTGCAAAACTTGATACTAGTTTGTAGGTCAATCTCTTAGTATTTTTTTAGAATTAGTGCTCCTTTAGATCAATTCGCAGTAATTTGAACGTAGCTATACAGAAATTCTTGCAAGTGAGTCAAAATATTTGTTGGCAATGGCAGTAGGAAAGTTGTCTTTGATATTCAGAGTTAGCTGTTCTAGCACTCAATTTTATTCAGTTAGTTCTTGACTGTGTTCTTTAGATATGGTCTTGTCTGTTTTGTCTTAGGATATGGTGAATTTTATGAGAATTTTGAGTGCTTAGTATTTACTAAGATTGTTTTACAAAGTCCAAAGTCTATTTAAAGTCATATCATCACTGGATCAATTTGATTTTTCCAAATCTTGAAGTTTAGAGTGAAAGTTAAGGGATCATAAGTGTGAGTTTTACAAATTTCAACTTGGAACTTGCTGGGGATCTTTATTTGTGGTTGCATTGGCTTTGAATCTATGAATAAAAGTCCATGTTAATTATGGAAGCCTCTTTTGGAGTAAGCTAATGAGCTAGTTTATAGGCTCCAGGGCTGCCAGTAGGTCTGTATGCTGCGCAATGCGAGGAATGCTTCAAATGGAGGTTGATTAGCAGCCAAGAAGAGTACGAAGATATTAGAAGCAGATTGATAGAAGAACCCTTTACTTGCCATAGGAAAACCGACACTTCTTGTGAGGATCCTCCCGATATCGACTATGATACAACTCGAACTTGGGTCATTGACAAGCCTAACCTCCCAAAGACTCCAAAAGGTTTCAAGAGGCGTCTGGTGCTGAGAAGGAATTTTTCTAAATTAGACGCTTACTATGTCACACCAACCGGGAAAACGGTTAGATCATCTACGAAGATGCTAACCTTTGTAGAAGCAAATCCTCAATACAAGGACATACCTCTTTCAGACTTCAGTTTTGCAGTCCCAAAAGTAATGGAAGAAACTGTACCTGAAAGCATCTTGAAATCTGGCTTTAGTAGTTGCAAAAGAAGTAAGAAAACAAAGGATGAATCTGTTGATATTGACGGAAGATGACAATCAGTTCATTGCAGCATTCAAGTGTCTATTCTTTGAGAAAAAACCAGTTAGTGAAAGGATTCTGCTGATTTGGATTGAAAGATGTAGCTTGGTATTTCTCCTCCTATTATTGTACCATTTTCTTTTTCATTTACAAGGACCATTTGGACTGTTGTATATATGGCCATTTTGATGATACTCATAGAAGATTCTTGGACTTCGGATGAGTTCGACACGACTCTTGAATAGGGTCAAATACTCGGATAGGTGTTCTTACCATTTATTGATATGAGCAGGTTAGGTCAGTGTTAGATACTTAAGTTTTTATTGATATGAGCAGGTTAGGTCGGTGTTAGATACTTGAGTTGTTTAGTATAGCATAGATTTTGTTTAGAGTTCGAGCGAGCGATAAAACCATCATGATCGGCCTTAGGTTCCAAATCGACAAGCTGTTGTTATTAAGTGATGTTATGAATCATTCCTTAAATTGTTTTAGTAGCATCTTTTTTATTCCGTTGTCCTTCATCAAAGGCTAAGCTATATAGCTTCAAAATACTTTTTGAAACGTATGTTAATCGATCCAGTGGCACACCAACCATACCCCTTCCTTTCTCCGATCATCAAGCCCATTTCTCCATTTCTTTGTCTTTCATTCTCCTTGTTGTTCATCCTATGCAAAAAGTTAAGTCAAGCTTGAAACCAGCTCACTCTCCCTTTTGTGCCTCCCTTTTGTGCCTGTAGTCTTTTGATTAGGGGATCCCAAGAGAGCATACCGCCCTGCTATAGTCACTATGGTCACGAGTCTATTTATAGTCCAAAACCAAACAAGTTCCTTGCAACAATCATTTCTTAGTCCTCACCATTTAAGAAATAACTCTTAGTCATGTCAAAAATTGCTAATAAATAAATATGTGAGAAAATTTTGAACTTTTATGTTAATGATGTTATGCAACGTTAAATGCAACCTTAAAGAAAGGAGTAGATAATGTCGTAAATATGAATTGATTCACTTTGTATACTGATACTGTCTCCTCGACAATCTCGATAAGCCTGTTAAGATTTCCTTCCTCACCTTATAGAAAAAAGGCAATGACTATAAACAAGCATAATTAATGAAATATGCATCAGATCAGTGCAACTGTTCTTGGCTGTTCTAATTTTCTAAACTCAAAATCTAAACTATTCATAAACTACTCAATGAAAAAGTGAAAAACAAACCACTCAAACCTACATTTCCTTACAGAATTAGTAAAAGAAAGCCTGTTCTTCTGTTTTTTAAGCTAAAACTACTGCATTACACTAATCAGATCATCTACAAACATGAATGTTCTTGAATATCCACAATCCATTTTTACTTAGTATTCCACAACATCCTATGGTAACATGGCATGCTCTCAAGAACACACTGATCCTGAGGCTGGCTTTCACTATAGCTGATGTTAGTCGTATGCATATCTTCTCGGTTTTCGGTAATGGCCATCTAATTATCTAGCAAATGTAAGCTTAAACTTTGCAGCCTAATCTATTTTTGTGTATTCAAGCAGCATATGAGGAGACCTGTAGATTTTCACAAGAGTCCAGTATAAGACCTCTTCAACTCCAAGCTCTCCCTCAGCTCTAGCAGCATATATGTCTTCACAAATAGCTATCAACCTACAAAAAGAGGCCATTGGCCCAAGATATACCAAGATACGAGTGGTTTTAGAATGACCAATATCACTTTTTTCGTTCTTGTTTTAGTTAAAAAAGGCATGACATAAGTGATTTTTGCAATTCTAGAATCGCTTCAATTGCAGAAGTGATTTTGTTACATTACCTGTCACAAGAAGGAAGATTCTCATAGGGAATTCTCATTCTCAAGTCAGAGCATTGAAGTCTTATAAAACGGCCAACTGCTAGAACAAAGGTTATGTAAAGACCCCAGATGCTGAACTTGCTAAGAGTGTCCCCCAGAATGCCCTCTGAAACAAATGTTAAGGTTAGTGATATGGTTTTGAAACTCTGCTCTATTAATCATCTTTTGTCATATGATTTTAATCGGACTTACGAGGTGGTATTTCCTCAGAGATTACAAAGGCTACGGGTCCGGTGAAATGTCCACATTCACTGACGTTTATTGGCTGGATGTCGTGGAAGGACCACCACTCGTAATTTTCACGGTTCAAGATGAGATCGGCATTGACAAAACTGTCCTGTAAATGATCATTGGATCCTTTATTTGAATAAAACTCACAAAGTGTAAAAATGAGTAGAACTTTAACCGCCCAAGTGTTACACCCAAGCCCACTGCTAACAAATATGGTCTGCTTTGACTCGTTATATATTGTTGCTACCAATTGCAAGATCCTACATCGGTTGGAGAGGGTAACAAAGCATCCTTTATAAGAGTATGAAAACTTCTCCCTCACAAATGCATTTTAAAACCGTGAGGCTGACAGAGATATGTACCGGGCCAAAACAGACAATATCGGTTAGTGGTGGACTTAGGCTGTTACATGTTTCAATATCAGAAACAGGTACACATAGACTATGAGTAATTTATATAGTATGCATGGTAAAGAATCTCATCAACAAAAAAGTCATCTAGATGGTGAAGGGAGTACCTCTTGTTCCAGAGGTCTAACATCACCAGACCCTGTGACACGAAAGTACCTTTGGTAAACATTTTTTATCCGAAAGCCATTCATCGAGCCATTCAGAACCTTCTGAACATCAGAAGGATTGGGAAGATCTCGAGGATCAACAACTCGGTCATATTGTACAACCTCCTTCCCTTTTGGTCTGTCCCTCGTGAGTATCCAAGTGAAAGAAACGCTTATATTTTGGTTCCGGTCAAGGGAATGAATGAACCTGGACTGAACCACACCAGGAACAAGCCACAGAACACTTGCATCAGCTTGACAACAAATCAACTGAATATCATTTTTGTTATATGGACCCAGATAGCCTCCTGGATCAAGAACCAAATTTGCATTCAAATTGTTCCATGAGATCTTTTCACAAAGAGTGGTTTGGTAGAGTGTTAATCTTCCTGAAGTTGTCTTGATATCAACCTGGCAACTGGCATCTTTGATTGGGTTTTCAACGTTTGTTGGGTTGCCACTGCTATACATCTGCAACAAAAAGGTACTACTCCTTGCATTATCTTGATGGGAAACATTTAAAAAATTTATGCTATGAAGTTCCTTACCAGCATTGGAGCCCAGATGACAAATAATAATATGAAGAACAGGCATATTCCATTGCAACATTTGGTCATTACGGTTTGTTTCTCTCCCTGTTTGTGCTGAGATCTGTTTAGGACTGCATCACATTTGACAAGGTACAAGCTTGCATTTATGTCCTCCAGCTGAGAGAAGAAATTCAAGATGATTTTAGAGCACAGGGTGAGCAAAAAAACTATAATGAGGCTACGTGAGATCCCACGTCGGTTGGAGAGGGGAACGAGGCATTCTTTATAAGGGTGTGGAAACCTCTCCCTAGCAAACGTGTTTTAGAACCGTGAGGCTGAGGGCTAAAGCGGACAATATCTACTAGCGGTGAGTTTGGTCTGTTACAAATGGTATCAGAGCTAGACACTGGGCGGTAAGCCAGCGAGGATGCTGGGCCCCAAGGGGGTGAGATCCCACATTGGTTGGAGAGGGAAACAAAACATTCTTTATAAGGGTGTGGAAACCTTTCCCTAGCATATGCGTTTTAAAATCATGAGGCTAAAGGCCAAAACGGAGAATATTTGCTAGCGGTGGGCTTAGACGGTTACAAATGGTATTAGAGCCAAACACCGGGCGGTGTGCCAGCGAGAACGCTGGCCCCCAAAGGGGTGGATTGTGAGATCCCAAATCGGTTGGAGAGGGGAACGAAGCATTCTTTATAAGGGTATGGAAACCTCTCCCTAGCAAACACGTTTTAAAACCGTAAAGTTGAGGGCCAAAGTGGACAACATCTTCTAGAGGTGGGTTTGGTTTGTTACAAATGGTATCAAAGCCAGACACCAAGTGGTGTGCCAACGAGGATGCCGGGCCCCCAAGGGGGGTGGATGTGAGATCCCACATCGGTTGGAGAGGGAAACGAAACATTCTTATAAGGGTGTGAAAACCTCTCTCTAGTAGGCATTTTAAAATCATGAATGATGAAGCTATGAATAAGGTCTCCACCGAATAACCGATATTCCTATATATTCTATAAATTTAAGATCTCTTTTAAGGCATTTTTAGTAAAATGGTATCTTTAGAACGATAAAATACTCACCTTTAGCCAGTCGTACATGGTCAGAGATGTCGACGTGCACGACCAGTCCAGCACACATCGTAATTCATACAAGAAGGGAAGAGCCCGATAAAGCCTGTAACCTAGATAGTTAATTCTTGAAACTTCGCTCGTCAAAAATTGTCGATACAAGGTGCTTTTGTGCGGGAGACCGTATCGAATTTGTATTGCCTGAAGTGCTAAAGAAACCGCCTTAGCAAGAAATATAGCACGGAGCGCCAACTCTCCAGCGTGCTGATTGGAAGGTTCCATTTGCCATGCATACTCCGTTACCGCATACGTAAAGAGCACGAGGTTGAAAAGGTAAAAGATCACTTTACCGGTAGCAAACGAGCAGAGGTATATACATCGATCGAGCACGATCAAGAAGAATATTATCTGAGACACACAATATATTTAGTTAAGAGTAGCAACTGCCATATCCAAGATAAGAACACTGTCTTCTAGTTGATACTATCAAAAATTATATGTAAAAGTTAGAGCTTACCATCAAGACGAACACAAACTCTTTTGGGAATTGATCTTCTAGTTGATACACATCAAGAAACTCACTATTGTTTTTTATGACAGATTGATAGAAAATTGCGACGAAGAAGAACACCGTCAAGTCTGCGCCAAATACATACGCATATAGATCGATTTCCCTCTTGCCTCCCCCAATCACGGAGAGTATTCGATACGGGAATCCAGTGTTTTCAACAAATCCGTTACGTTGTGCAAGACGAATCTCATTTGCTACATCAGCTGCAGGCGTAAGCGAGTCGCACCATTCCGAACAAGTATCGCTTGAAGGAGACGAATATTCTACCTCTAAAACAACCAAGGCCACCTCTGTATTCTCTTTACTTCTTTCAATGCTCTGAACATGAACTCTACTATAAAACGGACAAAGTCGAGCGTTCTGTTTCTTACACCTCTCTTCATGGATAATTCGAAGCAACTGGTTTATTCCCGACTCGATCCTCTCTGGCTGAATCCCGTCTTCTGGCCATATTTGGACATCCATAGACACCTGGATAAAGTAGGGTGGCGATTCGGCTCCTTGAGTCAGTGATTTCCAGTACTTCCATGAACTTCTGAGCATAACCATCACCATTTTTCTCCCGACGTATAGGAATTCGTAAGCCCTCTCGGTCAAGCCATAGCGTCCAAGACTGTGTTTTCTGGGGAGAGCGCTTTTATTGAACGCATTCAAATACGTCCACTCGCCATCTTTTGCTGTT